TTAGATGCTGGTGGAAAGTTGAAGCGGAGGTCCACCCAAAAGAGGAAGTTGTGCTTTAAGGCCTTATCCCCTGCTCCCCGTTAAGGATTGGTGCCTTTGGGGGGATTGTGGAGGGGAATGGGTACCTGATTATGACAGGTACCAGATCCCACTTTACTGCAATCGCTTAAGTGATCAGAAGTGGAAGTTTTTCAGATGTGTTTTGTTTTCCCCTTTTGCTGGAGATTGGAGCTCTGCTTTAAGTATATATTTAGAATGTTTATACTTTTATGAGTATGTTGCCTAAAAATAAAGCCCCTCCATTCACTCATGTGTAGATGGTAATGTTGGTCTACATTTGGGTGGTGCTGACTACCTCCACTGTCTTTCTGGACAGCATGATGGTTTTGGTTTTTGTTTTTTTTCTTTGCCTAGAAAGCATTGTTCCAGAGATCAGCAAATTGCTGACGCAATGCAGGACTCCTGCATGTCAATGTAAGCGCTCTGCCTGTACATTGATTGGGTAGGCGGTTTCACATGGACAAGAAGAATTGGTGAACTACCACAGCACCTTGGTAGTTCATTTAGAACTACAAGCCAACATCCCCAAAGGATGTTGGTACTTGTAGTTGATTCATTCATAGAACTCTGAATGAATGATGCGGCCAAATGGTAAGGGGATCTTCTCCTAAGAGTGCTCGGGCTGCCAAGCCGCTGCAGGAACGGGACCATGTTACATATTCCACCTGTTTTTTTTTTTTTTGTGTGGAATATGAAACCTGTTCCCTAAAGTGAACTTATCCTTTAAAATGCAATCCTTTGAAAGGATATCCATATTGTCTGCATTTGAGCTTTGTTGGCATATGCAACTTTTAGAAACGAAAGACAAATTGGTGAGTTAAAGCAGTAAACTGCAGCTAAAAATGCATTGTATACTAGCACATTATGAAGGACTAAATGATGCCCTCCAGCAGCATGCTGTCACTGCTACAGAGGCCTGGTTTGCGAGCTCCGGCTGTCTGGCTGAGCCTTGATGGCGTCACTCCCACATGTGCGCAAGAGTCCCTGGCCATGGCACAGTGCTATGAAGGAACAGCATGGGTATGCCATTCCTTCAGAGTCAATGCTCTGGCTCTCAGTGACTCTCCTAAATGGTGCGGGTTTTAGGAGAAATTAATTTTTGCATGTAGATAAGCTTTGCTATAGGTAAAAATGTGTTTGGGGGGATTTACTACCACTTAAAGGTGCAAATCTTTTAATGCCTAGGCAATGGGGGCACACAAATATTGCCTGAATTTCACATTGGAATGTTCATTGACTCTACCAGTTGGGACTTCTTACATTCCTTCAAGGGAAAGTGACTGGTGTGAGATCAATCTTGGTAACTGTGTGGCAATGTGCAGTAAAGTGTGCCATTTAGCAGTGCACAAGTACAGTTGGCACTGGCAAATCCACACTTGAGAATACCACACTGCATGTACCTTGCTGTGTCTGCATTATTTAACCAGGTCCCGGCCAGTGATTGCAGAGTATCTCAGATGGTGGAGAGATCTGTATGTAAACCATACTGATCTCTCCCCTGTCAGCTCCTGCACACTGCTTTGTATGGCTCTGCATAGCAGAGCCATACAAAGTGGTGTGCTTACAGTGAAGTACTCACAGCCCCCATAGTGAAACTGTACTGTTAACATCTTGGAGATCAAAGGGTTAATTTTTAATGCCCAGTGCCATTAGTACTGTCAGTGCTTTTTATTAGCACTAATCACTGTATTGATGTCAGTGGCAGTCAGTTCCCGTGTCAAAATCCCTGCTGCAGTCCTGCTATAAGTCACCGATCGCTGCCATTACTAACACACAAAATTCCAGCATACATACTGCCATTTGTAGACTAACTTTCACGGAAACCAATTAATTTACACATATTGGGATTTTCTTTTGAAAAGACATGTAGCGGAGTACATTTTGGCCTAAATTTTTGATGAAATTGGTTTTTGTTTTTTTTTCCCTCTCAATGGTCTCTATTTAAAGCTGAAAAAATAAACCGCACAGGCGATCAAATACCACCGAAAGAAAGCTTTGTGGGGGGAGAGAAGTAAATGTCATTTTAATATAGCATTGCATGACTGTGCAATTGTGTCAAAGTAACGCAGCGCCCTATTGCAAAAAAATGGCCTGGTCAAGAAGGGGGGGGGAAATCCTCTGATGGGCAAGTGGTTAGGAAGGTCTGGCTGTGGTGTCAGTCTACATTTGGGGCCTATTCACACAAGTTCATCAGGCTGCTTTACTTGGCACAAGCCTAATACAGTAACAAGCAGAAATCCATGGTTTCCAATACTCACATCATGCTATAGTGTTTTTTTTTTGTTTTTTTTTTTTTTAACCAGTCTATTTTTGCCGTGGCCTACTTAAAACTGAGTTCCATCCAAAAGGGGAAGGTCTGCTTTAACCTCTTGCCGACCGCGCATAGCCGAATGACGGCTTCACCGCGGCCAGCCAGTTCTGGGTGGACGTCATATGACGTCCTCCCAGAACGCGCTCTCCTGCGCGCCCCCCAGGGGCCGCGCACCGGCGATCTCCGTGATCGCTGTGTCCTACGGACACAGCTGATCAAGTGATGTGGTAAAAGGCCAATCACAGCGGCCTTTTACCACCTGATCAGCGGTGTCCAATGACACGCTGATCAGAGGGAAATGCAAGTGCCGGTTCTCGGCTGCACTTTCCTCACACTGTCAGATCGTGAGGAAAGTACTGCCGAGAACCGGCAGTTAGAGCGGGGATCGGCACTGATCAGTGCCCTGATCTGTGCCCAGCAGTGCCACCCGCAAGTTCCGCCCAGCAGTGCGCCCACTAGCTCCGCCCACCTGTGCCCAGCAGTGCGCCCACCCACCAGTGCCGCCAGTCAGTGCCACCAGTCAGTGCCCAGGGGTTGTGCCAGTCAGTGCCGTCTGTCAGTACCCATCAATGTCACCTATCTGACACCTCATTAGTACTGCCTATCAGTGCCCTTTAGTGCTGCCTATCAGTGCCGCCCATAAGTGCTGCCTCATCAACGCACATCAGTGAAGGAGAAAAAATGCCTGTTTGAAAAATTTTATAATAGAAACAAACTTTTTTTTTTTTTTCAAATTTTTTGCACTTTTTTATTAAAAGTGCAAAAAGTAAAGCGCCCAGCGGGGAGTAAATACCACCAAAAGAGAGCTCTATTTGTGAGGAAAAAATGATCAAAATTTCATATGGGTACAATGTTGCATGACCGCGCAATTGTCAATCAAAGTGCAGCAGCGCTGAAAAAAATGGCCTGGTAAGGAAGGGGGTATAAGTGCCCGGTAGGCAAGTGGTTAAAGATTGGTCCCCCGCTCCCCATTAAGGATTGGCACATTGAGGGAGCGGGTACCAAAAATTGACAGGTACTTGCTCCCACTTCCGCTGTGATCGGAAGCAGAAGTTGTCCTACCCTCCCTCCCCATAGTCTTGTGGGACACGTAACCGGTCTCAGACGAAGTGGCCATTCAGGAAGCGCAGCGCTACTCATGCATGCTCAGTAAGCACCTGGCTGTGAAGCCGCAAGCTCACAGCCGGGTACCCACACTGAAGATGCCGGCACCTGGAATATAAGTCAGCCAGTAAAGCAGGCTGTGGCAGGGGGATTGTGGGACAGGTGAGTGGATGTTTTTTGTAGTTGCTGACTTATTTTTTTACGGTGACACCACTTTAACTTATTGCTAAAAAATCAATCTAAATGGGGGGGCTGCTTACTTCACTAAGTGACTATAGGTTCCTTTTTGAGGAAAAACACAATGTATTTGCCCAGGTTGTAACAGTCTCAGGATTCAATGCACCCAAGGAAACTTGCTCTCATCTGCTTATCTTTGCTTATCCCACCCACCAGTTAGATTAGTGGAAATGCTGAGATTTGGCAGCCTTTGCTCTCTTAAATGTGTATGACCTTATGTGGTGTCTGCATTGTGTTGGGTTGTTTTTGTCTTGTGATCCAGCCTGTATCACCCTTCTGTCTTGGGGTCTCTCCACTCTGGATGATAAGCAATGGGAGATGCCTTTTTGGAAAGCATTGTCAGTCTGGGGCGTGGGTAGTTAGATGTATTGGCAAATGGGTGGGCATGTCTAACAAAACCACTAACACTGTTTTGAGAACTGTTACAGCAATGTTTTTATGTAAATAAACACTCCTGTTTGAAATGTTTATTGTCTCAACCCTCTAACTGCAGCTTGGTGTGTTAAAGGAAGTTGGGGGATGGGGGGCTGAAGATGAATATAGCCACTATATTGAAGATATAGTAGGCTGCAATATATTTTGTTTTTGGGTTTCATACTGTTAAGCTTTGACTTGCTGGATTTAATGTGTAGTGTTCTTATGCTGGACTTAAAGCAGTGTACGTTCAGTAGAAAACTGAGCAGGCAGATATGTTTGTATTGCAGAAGAGGAATAGGGGGTTGTTTTACTAAAACATCTGGTGCTTCTCTGCATAGAAAACAATCCGCTTCCAGGTTTTAATGTCAAAGCTTAATAGAACAAGCGGAAGTTGATTGTAGAATTTGGTGCAGCTGTGGTAGCCACTCTCCACTTTTAGTAAATCTCCCCCATAGCATGTCCCTTCTGCAATAAAAAAAATGGCTGCCTGCAACTGCTCCTGGAGAGTGGCAGCCTCTCCTAGGTAACCTCCCCTTTTTGGGTTTGCTTAGTACTGTGGTCACTCAGTCCTGGTTTACCTTTATTTGTTTACTTTCTATATTTTCTACCTGTCTTGCGACACTAGAACTGCAACATGAATTTTTTATTTTTTTTATAAGCCAGCTTTATCTTCTATATTACACAATTTGTATCTAACTTGGTATGTTGAAATTGTACTATATGGGTATTGCACTTTTGATAGTTGAAAGTTTTTATGGAAGAAAAAAGCTACTTGTTCAGTATCCGAAATCTTTATTAGTTCCACTTTAGTAGTGTGCCTTATGCATGTGTTTTTTTTTTTTTTTTTTTTCATTTTTCACCCACTGTACAGCTTATTGGCATATATGATGGATACCTGTCCCTGCTGTGTGACAATGGTGAAGTTCGTGATGATCTCAAGCTGCCAGAAGGAGACCTGGGAAAGGAAATAGAAAGTAGATATGAAGCTGGTGATGACATCATGGTAAGTTAATGTCTGCTTTGTTTTGCTGAAAGTGTCCCCGTGGGGCAGTCGCTTGTGGGTTGTACTAATGACTATTGATACTAAAAATGAGGGACAAATGCAAACACTAGTAGATGAGGAAACGTTAAACACTATATTGCCAAAAATATTGAGACAACCCTCCAAATCATTGGATTCAGGTGTGTAAAATGAAGCACCTAGGCATGCAGACTGCTTCTACAAACATTTGTGAAAGAATGGGTTGCTCTCAGAAGCCTGGTGAATTCAATCCTGGTACCATGATAGAATGCCACCTGTGCAAGAAGTCAATCCATGAAATTTCCTTGCTACTAAATATTCCAGTCAATGGTTGGTGGTATAACAAAGTGGAAGCAACTGGGAACAGCAACACCTAAAATGAGAGCTGGGTCAGCGTCTGCTGAAGCATACAGTGCACAGAAGTCACCAACTGACTGCAAAGTCGATGACTAAAGACCTCCAAACTTCATGTGGCCTTCAGATTAGCACAACCGTGAGAGGGCTTAGTGGAATGGGTTTCCATGGGTGAGCAGCTGCGTCAAAGCCTTGCATCACGAAGTGCAACAGTCAGATGCGGTGGTGTAAAGCATGCTGCCACTGGACTCTATATCAGTGGGGACATGTTTGCTGGAGTTAAGAATCATGCTTCTCTGGCAATCCAATGGACATGTCTGGGTTTGGTGTTTGCCAGAATGGTACTTATTTGACTGCATTGTGTAAAGTTTGGAGGGGGGATTATGTTGTAGGCTGGTTTTTCAGGGGTGGTCCTGGCCCATTGGTTCCAGTGAAGGGAACTCTTAAGGTGTCAACATGCCAGAGTCCTCACCTAAACCCAATGGAACACTTTTGGGATTAGACTGCGAGCCAGGCCTTTTTCATCAGACATCAGTGTTTGACCTTACAAATGGACTCCTGGAAGAATGGACAAACTAAAACCTTGTGGACAGCCTTCCCAGAAGAGTTAAGCTGTTATAGCTGCAAAGAATGGGCCAACGCGCTATCAAACCCTATGGATGAAGACTGGGATGCCATTAAAGCTCATGTACGTGTAAAAGGTGGGCACCCAAATACTTTTGGCAATACAGTGTCGTTTTGAACGAGAACAGCTATCAAAGGTTAGATTCTCCACTTCACTCAGGAAATGAATCTGCTCACTTCTGTCAGGTCCTGAATATCATTCGGGGGAAATGTCTACAAGCTTGCAGAAACTTGACTTGTTTTCACGCTTTTACACCATTGTTCATGCTAATGCTAAAAATCTAGTCTTTAATTTTTAAACTGTTCAATTTCCTTTTCATATGAAATATTGAGCTAGAAGGGTTTTAATTTTCATAGGTTTAAACCAACAGTGCATTATTTCCTCTTTATCGCAGTTTTGTGAATTTGTCAAGCTTTTATAAAGCTTATATGCCAAATTGATGCCCAAGACTAAAATGTTCATATGCTACTTCTGTGGGCAAAAATCAGCCATAGTAGAAATAAGGTTATTGTGAATCTGACCATAACTGCAGTTAAAAACTGAATGGTCTAAGTACATTTAATTGTTTGTACAGCAAAAGGGTACAATGGTAATAACAGAATCTGCTTGTGTGCGGTTTAGACATGAGGGAGTGTAATCTTATAACTAAGGGTCCATGCACACTAGCTTGAAGAAAAAGCTGCTTATAGAGTAGTTTAGCGGAGTGGGTTTTTTTTTTTTTTTTTTTTCCCCCCTACCTGTAGAAGCAGCAAATGTTGTCCTATGTCTGTGCACATTAAGGCTGTGTTCACACTGATGCGTTGCGGAATTCGCAGAGTTATCTGTGCGAATTCCGCATCAGAATCGCACCCTGTTCATGTGAACTGATGTGGGTGTGTACAGGTGAAACTCGAAAAATTAGAATATTGTGCAAAAGTTCATTTATTTCAGTAATGCAACTTAAAAGGTGAAACTAATATATGAGATAGACTCATTACATGTAAAGATAGTTCAAGCCGTGATTTGTCATAATTGTGGTGATTATGGCTTACAGCTCATGAAAACCCCAAGTCCACAATCTCAGAAAATTAGAATATTACATGCAATCAATAAAACAAGGATTGTACATAGAACAATATCTGACCTCTGAAAAGTATAAGCATGCATATGTACTCAGTACTTGGTTTGGGCCCCTTTTTGCAGCAATTACTGTCTCAATGCAGCGTGGCATGGAAGCTGTTAGCCTGTGGCACTGCTGAGGTGTTATGGAAGACCAGGATGCTTCAATAGCGGCCTTCAGCTCTTCTGCATTGTTCGGTCTCATGTCTCATCTTTCTCTTGGCAATGCCTCGTAGATTCTCTATGGGGTTCAAGTCAGGAGAGTTTGCTGGCCAATCAAGCACAATAATTCCACAGTAGTTGAACCAGGTTTTGGTGCTTTGGTCAGTGTGGGCAGGTGCAAGTCCTGCTGGAAAATGAAGTCCGCATCCCCATAAAGCTCGTCTGCGGAAGGAAGCATGACGTGCTCCCAAACCTCCTGGTAGACGGCTGCATTGACCCTGGACTTAATGAAGCACAGTGGACCAACACCAGCAGATGACATGGCTCCCCAAATCAACACAGACTGTGGAAACTTCACACTGGACTTCAAGCATCTTGCAGTGTGTGCCTTTCCATTCTTCCTCCATACTCTGGGTCCTTGGTTTCCAAATGAGATGCACAAGGTGCTCTCATCAGAAAAGAGGACTTTGGACCACTGAGCAACAGACTAGGTGTGTTTTTCTTTAGCCCAGGTAAGATGCTTCTGACGTTGTTTGTTGTTCAGGAGTGGCTTGACAAGAGGAATATGACATTTGAAGCCCATGTCCATGATCCGTCTGTGGTTGCTCTTGATGTACAGACTCCAGCCTCAGTCCACTCCTTGTGAAAGTCCCCAACACTTTTGAATGGCGTTTTCCTGACAATCCTCTCCAGGCTGCGGTTATCCCTGCTGCTTGTGCACCTTTTTCTTCCACACTTTCCCTTCCACATAACTTTTCTATTAATGTGCTTTGATACAGCACTTTGGGAACATCCAACTTCTTTTGCAATTACCTTTTTGAGGCTTTCACTCCTTATGGAGGGTGTCAATGATGGTTTTCTGCACAACTGTCAGGTCAGCAGTCTTTCCCATGATTGTGAGTCCTACGGAACCAGACAGACCATTTAAAGGCTCAGGAACCCTTTGCAGGTGTTATGGCTTAATTGGCTGATTAGTGGGATACTTTGAGCCTAGAATATTGCACCTTTTCACAATATTCTAATTTTCTGAGATTGTGGATTTGGGGTTTTCATGAGCTGTAAGCCAAAATCATTACAATTATGACAAATCACAGCTTGAACTATCTTGCTTTGCATGTTATGAGTCTCTCATATATTAGTTACACCTTTTTGTTGCATTACTGAAATTAATGAACTTTTTGCACGATATTCTAATTTTTTGAGTTTCACCTGTAAGTTAACACCCTGAAATCGGTCTGTAAAAAAAAAACTGATGTGCACAATCATATCGAATAGGTGTGAATACCCATGCGATCCAATTCTAGTGCGGACCCAAAAAAGGATCCTGCACTTTTTTTTTTTGTGCGGTGTGATTTGAGCCATATAAAATATATGGCTCCAATCGCACCGCACACAAATCGCATGTGATTTGCACGGGGGTGCGGTTCCTGTGCGAATCACATGTGATGCCCCGCACTAGTGTGAACCTAGCCTTAGACATTTGGGGGGCATATATTATCCTTAGTATTTAGAGGCAGAAAAAAAAGCCTTCCGTCCTGGATTTTTTTTTTTTTTTTCTTTGAGCAGTTTTCAGGCAGAAGAAAATTTAAACTAGTGTACAAAAATGTTCTAAGCTTTATGCTTCTAGACCTCAAGTGTGCAGCCCCCTTCCCTATACTTGAGCTTGATTGTGATCCAGCGCTGTACACGAAAGCCTCTAACTCTCCTGGGTCTCTCCCTATTCATTGGCTGAGACACAGTAACTGGAGTCATTGGCAATCACAGCCTGTGAGGCAGGGTCAGGGCCAGCTGCACTGTCTTATGGGCATAAAGGGAAGGCTCAAAAGCAAAGATGCATGTGTCCCCAAAGCAAGCGACTTACTCTGGAGGCACTTGGGATTGGCCAAGAGTGCCAGCAAAGGACCCAAGAGGAGAATCGGGGCTGCTCTGTGCACAGGAAAGTATGGGGGGAAAAAAACGAAGCCTTAAAACCACTTTTAAGCCCAGTGTGCATGGAACCCTTAAGATAAATATTTTCCAAAGTGAAGTTTGGATACTGCATTATTGTTAAACATACATGTGTTTGTGGTGACGGGTCAGGGACCACTTGAAATATCTGAATAATCTGAGTACAGTTTTTTTTTTTTTTTTTTTTTTTTTGCAAAAGGCTATTACTAAAACTATAGGTTGTATTACTATTTGGCCATCTTATACTCACAAAACAGTCTTTGCAGATGCACACCTTTATGGAAACTATTTCCTGATAAAAGTAAAAAGTGGCTCCAGACTAAGTGCAGCATTAAAATGGTAGTTTTTATTGCAAGGTAAAAACGATGGCAACTCACTAGAAGTGAAATTTTAGATGGCATGTCACCCTGGATGTTGTCCCGTGTGGATCCTAGGAGCTGGTGGAGAGCAGGCAGGAGTAAGTGTTCAAGAGCTGATAGCTGGAATGGAACTCCTAGGTGTCTGTAGCAGCTGGCCGCTGGAGGGGAAGCAGCCTGGAACGCAAATGAGGGCGGACGTGACGTCAGACGTTGGCACGTGGTGACGTAAATTGGTCTGACGTAAATTAGTGACATTTCAAAGCTGCGCTTCTTCCTCAGACCTAATTGGCCAGTGGAGGTGGCCATCTAAATAGTGGACTAGAGGGGCGGGGATGGCTGTGGTGTCTCTAGAGTCCACGAACATACTTAAGGGGAAATGGCGATTCGGGGAGCATAACCAAGCACAAAAATATATGGTAAAAGGACGGGTAAAAGAATGTATGGAA